CGCAAGGCCCTTGCGCTCCAGCGAGATGGTGAGATGTGACGAGCCCTCCTCGCCCGACAGCGCAAAGTGGATGATCCCCTTGGGCATGTACATGGTGTCACCGGCACGCAGCGTGAACTCGTTGCAGCGCATGCCACGCAGGTCTGCGTCCTGGTACGCCGTGCACCCCTGCTGCCTCTGGCGCCGGATCTCCTGCAGCTGGCCCAGCTGCGCAGGGTTGAAGTGCTTGATGGTCTCTGCCTCGCTTGGGCGTGCGCGTGTGCCATGGCGGCTTGGGAAGGAAGACGACGACGCAGAAGCAGAAGCAGACGCACCGTGGTCGCCAGTGCCGGTGTTGGCGTTGTCGTCGTCCTCTGCGTTGGTGCCACTGCCGTCGTTGTTGGTGTCGGTGTCGGAGACGTATGCGTCTGGGATGCAGGTTGTCCAGCGCTTTGAGCCGTGGAGCTGGATGACAAGGACGTCGTAGGGGTCTGTGTGCGGCATGAGGGCGCGCGACTCGTTCTGCGTGGCGTGGTACAGGTGGACGGTGGACTCTGTGCCAAACACGTCGCGCACGCCGTCCTGCAGCTGCTTGACGTGGTCCTGGGCGGGGGAGTCCACGAGGTCCTCGTAGCGGATGAGCAAACCAGCGCCGGCAGCCAGCTCGTCCTCCATCTGCTTGCATGACGACACCTGCCGCGTCTCGCCTTGCTCCTTGATCTGTGGATCATGTGTGTGTGTGTGTGTGTGTGTGTACATGTGTGTGTGTGTGTGCATGTGTGTACATGTGTGTACGTGTGTGTACGTGTGTTCCAGTATGTGTGTACATGTGTGTACGTGTGCATGTGTGAGGGAATGAAGGTCGAGGTCAAAGTCGTGATTGAGGAAGGCAACGCACAAGGCCAAGGGCAAGGGGAGGAGGCAAGAGCGCTGAAAGCATGACGTGTATTACAAACACACAAACACACAAACGCACACACACACAAACACAGACACAGACACAGACACACCAGCACAGACACACACACAAACACTAACACAAACACAAACACACTAACACACACACACAAACACACACATCAACACAAACACAAACACAAACACTAACACAAACACGTACGTGGAAGCCGCCGCTCTGCTTGTCTTGCTGCTCAAAGGCGTGGCACAATGACTGCACTTGGTTCAGTGGCGTTGTGATCTGGCGCAGCCGCGGCGTGAAGGCGTCCGGCGTGGGCCGGTGGTCAATCAGCGTCTCATGCTGATACACGGAGTCAAAGAACACATCCCGGTCGCCAGTGAAGAAGTCCCCAAAGCTGAGCGGCACGGGCTTGTCGGTGTCGGTGTTGGTGGTGGTTGTTGTTGTTGTTGTTGTGTCGACAGGGACGTCTGCCGCTGTGGCAGAGGGGGGAAAACAACAACAACAACAACAAGCGGCAGCCACAAACACTGCAACCACAACAACCATCATTGCGCGAGATGCTGTTGTTGCTGCGGTTGAGATATCGCCGGCACCCATTGTGTGGCGCTGGCTCTTGCCTGGCGAGTTTGGAGGGGTTGCTGTCTTGGCTTGATGAAGGTTCTTGTTGGTTGGTGGTGGTGGGTGTTAGGGTGTTGTGTGTTCTTCGACAGGAAGAAGAAAGTGAGAGAACGTAAGGTGGCTTGGGTGGTGGTTTGTTGTGGGTTGTTGTGGTTTGTGGATTGGTCACAGTCGGTCAAATGGTTCCCACGACAAGCAAAGAAATTCCACAGAGGAGAAGAACGCAGAAAGCCTTGCTTCCCTTGGAAGCGCCAATCACGTCAAGCAGAAACGACAGCTGCAAGAAACTCTGAAAACCCACAAGCCGCACAGGGGAAACACCAGACTTGACAATGCTGTCGTTGCTGTCTTTGTGTGGTTTGTTTGGTTTGTTTGTTTTTTCCTCTTGCCTCCGTGCCAAGTCCGTGCGCTTTTGCGATATCGCGAGTGTCGTATCCACCATTCTATGTCTCGCACGAACCGCAGAGGAAAATTGTCGCAGACACAGGATTGCTTGCATGCATGCACGCGCTGAAGGTGGCGAACGTTTAGTTTATCTTTCTCGCAATATGACGACATGACAAGTTTATTCGGCATTCATGGATTGGCCTATGACCTATTGATAGGACGGATTTGCGTGGAGTGGTGTGTGTGTGTGTGTGTGTGTGTGTGTGTGTGTGTGTGTGTGTGTGTGTCTGTGTGTGTGTCTGTGTGTGTGTCTGTGTCTGTGTGTGTCTGTGTGTGTCTGTGTCTGTGTGTGTGCACCTCTATGCGTAATGTTTCTTCTCCTTTTGTCTCTCCGCAACGCACGTGTGTGTGTGTGTGTGTGTGTGTGTGTGTGTGTGTGTGTGTGTGTGTGTGTGTGTGTGTGTGTGTGTTGTTACATCGCTGTCTGCCTCTTATTTGCAACACACACACCTTGCGCACCGTTCAAGCGAGTCAACGGTATTCAATGCTCACAAGGATGATGAATGGGATGGGCGTGATGAGCCATCATCGTCCGCACAAAGGGAGGGCGTACGACAAAGCCAGCCAGAAATCAGGACGCAATTGCAACGGAGAGAAAGAAAAAGAAAATCAACAGCAAGAAAAACAAGAGCAACAACAAAACACACACACACACACATACATGCGCGTCGTAGAGCAACACAAATACCGCAACCCCCAACGAAGATGTGGTGGCGGGGTGGCTTGACATAAATCACCGTCAGTCAATCAGACAGCAGCAGTTACAAAACAACAAAACTGGGTGAAATCAAAGCAGGCTGAACGAAGCGAAGCGAGATGCAAGCTCAAACAAAAACACCAAGGAATCCCACAAGCAGTGCAGAAATAATCAATTGAATCACGTCAAATTTGCCTCAAGACACCAAGGAAGGCAAAGCAGAGATAACGCACGGGCTGCCGCAATAAACTTCCGCGCAAACACTCAAGGTCATCGTTCGAACACGCACCACAGGGAGATTGAGACACACGCACACACACACACAGGGAAAACAACCATCATCATCAAAGCAATCATGCAGAAAGCACCACTGACCACTGATATTACAAAAAAATGCAATGTTATATCATCAAACAGAGCAAAACGAGTCAGTGAAAAGCGCAAGCTGGAAACATGTGCATGCACGACACCAAAACAACAAGACACGTGCATACAGCAGAAACGTCAACCCCGGCCAGTGCCAACCAAACCAACCACCCAGCTACAGGGCCTCCGTTGGCGGGACAAGCCGGCGCGGGTTTGTCTTGGACAGGTCATGCACCGCAGAGGAGCGGCGCTTTGGGGTGTGCATGGTGCTGGGCGGCGGTGCAATGCCGGCAACCCGCTGCCCGCGCTGGGCCTGGGCCTGGGCCTTGCGCATCGTCAGCTCGTCGCCTTGCGTCATGTGCGTGCGTTCGTCGTCTGTATCTGAGAAGACAGATGAAGCCGGGCGCGAGCCGAGTGGCGGCTCCTGTTTTGCGTGCTTCTGCTGCAAATCCCCACCGCCCACGGCAGTTTCACCGACAACAACGCCATCATCAACGTCCGTGTCGCCAGCACTGCTGCCGCTGCTGCCGGTGCTGGTGCTGAGCATTGTGCTGCACCTGTTGCTGATGTCGCTCGACGCTGTGCTCGACACGGACGACATTGCCACAACTTTGCTGCGGGCGCGTGCGGCCACAGCTGTGCCTGTGTTGTCGCCGGCGGCTTCCGCGCGCTGCTCAAGTGCGTTTTGAATTGCGCGGCGCTGCTGCTCCTCATACGCCTCCTCCGCCTTATCGCCCTCCCTCACAGCACCAGCAGTGGCGCCGCTGTTATCTGCGGCGGTGGCGGCGGGTTTGGTCGGCTTCTTCACACCACGACGAGGCGAGCGCCGCACACCAGCGGCCGTCTTGTCGCTCTTCATCGTCCTGTGCACATCGCCCTCCGTTTCACCGCTGCTGCTGCTGCTGCTGCTGCTGCTTCGGCGTAGGAGGCGATTGCGGTTGTCCTGCTCGGCAATGCGCGTGCTCCTCCGTGTCGATGCCCGCCACGACGACACGGGCAGAGACGGCGATGGTGACGATGGCGACGTGGATGCCGGTGCTGCCCGCGCCCGCGCACCCCGGTGAGTGCCAGCGACAGGGCTTGCGCCTTTAGTCGTGGCCGTGCGTGTCTGCACGCGCCCAGTACGTGACGCGGTGGCGGTGGCGGTGGTGCCTGGTTCTGCTGCTGCTTGTGCAGCTGCTTTGCTGCCGCTGCGGCGGCGAGGCGACGTGCGACGCTGATGAGGGGACTTGGTGGTGACGGCAGGCAGCCGCAGGGACGCGGTCTTCTTGTCTTGTTGTCCATTCGCTTGCTCCTCCTGCTCTCCTTGGCCCTCCTGTTCCTTGCTGTCTTTATGGTCGTCGCTGCTGCTGTCACTGCTGGTGGCTGCGGCGGCGGTGCTGGCTCCAACACGGGTTGGTGTTGCCTGCTGCGGCGATGACGACGGCACGTCCATGCTGCCGGTGCTTGCGACGCGGCTGGTCGTCGCCGTGGTGCTTGCGCTGGTGGCCGTGCTTGCCGTCTCGCTCGTCGCTGCCGAGTCCACATCGCTGTCCGCATACGCCGGCGCTGCGGTGGCGGTGGCGGTGGCGGTGGCGGTGGCTGCCTGCTGCGTGCCTGAGCCCCGGGGCGCCACCACCATGTCCAAGATCCAGGTGGGGCGGTGGGCGTGCGTCTTTCGTTCAGCGCCGAGCGAGGCGCCCTCTTCCCACATGTGCTGCTGCTGCTGCACGACGTAGTGCTGCTGCGGCCCAATCACAGACCCTGGCCGGGCGACGCGCAGCCACGCAATGGCCTCGCGGGCGGTGAGCTTGTAGTGCTTCATAATGTAGCATGCCATGAGCGTGCCTGTGCGACCAAGGCCCGCCTTGCAGTGCACGGCAATGGCGCCCTCTGCGCTCTCACACGCGTCCAGGAACTGCCGCAGAATGTGCGGGGGCGGCGTGGTGCCGTCCGTGAAGCACATGTCGTGGTGGCGCAGGCCGTGGCGGGTGAACTTGGTGCGGTCGTACAGTGGCGCGTTGAGGCGCACCACGTCCGTGACGTTGTGCTGCTGAAAGTACCAGACAAAGTCCTCGGGGGCAAAGTGCGGGTAGCCGTTGTTGATGTGGCGCTGGTTGTGGGGGCCTGCCATGGATATGAACTTGTCTGCCACCATCCAGTTGAAGTCGCCGTGCTCGATGCGCTCGTAAAAGTCGTACTCCTCCGGCGAGAAGGTGGTCAGGTCCACAAAGCCGTTGAGCAGGCCCTGGTACACGCCGGCCACCACGTCCCGCACGTGCAGGTCAAACGTGGATGGGCGGTACGATGCGTCGCGAAACGGGAGGAGCGGCGGCTGGATTTCGTCCAGGGGTTTGCATGTTTCCTCGGGTGTCATGCCTGTGAGGACCATGACTGCAATGCTCACCAGCGCAGCGGCGTTGGAGCGCTCCTGCATATCCGCCGGCGCAATGAACACGAGCGGGTCGCCCGTCTCCTCAGATTTCTGTCAATGTTGATGTGTTTGCGTGTGTGTGTTGGGGGGGGGGAGCGATTGTGTTGTGTGTTGTGTTGTGTTGTGGTGTGGTGTGTTGTGTTGTGTTGTGTTGTGGTGTGTGCGTATTGGAGAAAGGACAAGTGAGCAACGGGCACGGCTAATGTCAGAGGGAGATGGAAACAGTACAGCGTTCTTCGTGATGCCATGCAGGAACAAGCATGCATGCATGCACGCAGAAAAGCGCACACGTGCACGCGCATGGTGCATCAACATGGTGCGCACCTTCATGAGAGCTTCAAAGCGCTTCAGAAAGCGAACTGTCATGGCCAGGTTGAATGGTCCAAAGTCCGCGCAGAAGCTATGTATGTGTGTGTGTGTGTTGTTGTTGTTGTTGTAGGTGTTGTAGGTGTTGTTGTTGTAGGTGTTGGTGGCGTCGTGTCAAAGTGAGAGGGGCAAAGAAGAAGAGGGAAGGAGATATAAGTGCGACCTCGCAATCACACACACGCACACACACGCACACACACGCACACGCACACACACACACACACACACGCACACACACACACATACACACACGCACGCACACGCACGCACATACACACACGCACACACACGCGCACCCAAATACACGTGAGCAAAACAATACAGTGATCACACAAACGTCACGCCAAAGTAGCGACACGGAGACAGGTGCCGCCCATGCATGCAACGCGACAACTCCACAGTGTGTGGGTGACATGAAACGCACTTTTCGTAGTAGAGGGAGGAGGTTTGCATGAAGTAAATGTAGCCCTCGTGTTGGGGGCGGCCTCCGGGCCAGAAGTACACCAGACCATCGGCAAGCGAAATTGCCGACGATGGGAGGGGCTGTCGTGCCATGATGGTGGTGGTGCTGCTGGTGGTGGTTGTTACGCCTGATGGGCGGTGGTGGGTTCGCTGTGTTGCTGTTGGTGTCTGTTGGAAGAAGGGCTGAAGGTCGGCAAAGAGAGTCTTGAGTTGTTTGTAGTTCGAGAGAGGAAAGGTCGATGGGCGTTGATTGATTATGTATGTGCTGAGGATGGTTATGAAGGCAAGGGCGACAGCTCGTGTGTAGCCTGATTGAAGACATGTGCGTGCATGTGTGTGTGTGCGTATGTGCGTGTAAGTAATTATTTGGAGGGGGGTTGTGATGGGGAAGAAGAAGGCAATGATAGAGAGGTTGATACGTTGATATGCGGCACACAGAACTTGGACTTGGATGTGACTTTTGTGGTCAAGACGTCGGCAACAAGCACACAAGAAGAGACGAAAGGGAGACGGTGTCCACTGGGGGTGGTGTGGAGTTGTTGATGTGTTGTTGGATGTTTCACATTGTGCAGGAGGAAGGAGGACGGCTCACCGCGAGAGATTGGTGGCTGGAGATGGGCAGAGCGAACACAGGCCTGCTGGGATGGGAGGTCCGCCCTTATGCTTGACACCACAAACGAACCAACCAGAAAGAGGGGAAGGAGGAACAAAGGAGCGTGGCAAGCGAATGCACACACTCACGTCACACACAAAAAGGGAAAGAGAATGGGCCGGTGCTGGCAACGGGCGCCGGTGTTCGTGTGTGCGTCAAGGGGAGGGAGGACGAAGGTGGGTGAGCGTGGCTTGCCTCTATGACTCCTTGCTCGCTTGTTTTGTGTGTCAAGTGCGCGTGTGCGTGTGCTTGTGGTGGGCTTTTTTGGCTTGGCTTTGTTTTTCGGCTTGTGTTAGTTGCTTGCTTTGTGTGCGCGCAAACAAACAGCGCAACCAACAACCAAAACAAAAGCCGAGTAACAGAGCATTAAAGCCGCATGGAATCAGTTTCACTTTGTGTAATGGCTGGCTACAGTCCTTCGAACATTTGCAAAGATACCAAACAAAAACTGTTCGACAAAACCAAAACCATGTGCTGTCGTTGACGGTACAACTACGACAGCGCGACAGGCGGAAAGATGCAACAATCACAGCACACACACACACATACACACACACACACACACACACACACACACACACACACACTGGCAGCTCTCCTCCATTCGAGTGTGTGTGTGTGTCTCCTCTGTCTCACACACTCACTCCAAAGCTCACTCCCACCAACACTCACTCCCACCAACACTCACTCCCGCTCACACGTGCTCACTCCCACTTAGTCAGAGCCGTCATCGCGGAAGTTGTCTGAAACGAGCCTGTTGGTGGCGTTGTAGTCGGCCTCATCGTCGCTGTCGTCGTCACCCACGAAGCGGCGGCTGGCAGCGTTGCCGTTGGAGCCCTGCTTGTAGGAGGAGTCTTCCCGATCAAGGGCAGAAGGGAGCGCAAAGTCATCGTCTTCCTCATCATCGTCATCAAGCCCGTGGATGCTGCGAACCTGCGATGATGAACGGTGTTGTCCTGACTGTCCTCGCCTTGTGCCCTGTGCCTGCTGCTGCTGTTGCTGCTGCTGCTGCTGCCGCGCCGCTTCTTGCTGCTCGTGCACCTTGTTTGCACGGTCGCACTCGTCAATCCATTCCGTGAACACATCCACGGGCTCCGACAGTGCTGCGTTGGAATTCGTTGGGGAAAGTCGGGGGGGGGGGCGTTGTTGCGGGAGCGTGTGTGTGTGTGTGTGTGTGTGTGTGTGTGTGTGTGTGTGTGTGTGTGTGTGTGTGTGTGTGTGTGTGTGTGCAGAGAGGTTTGTGTGTGTGTGTGTGTGCGTTTGTGTGCAGAGGTTTGTGTGCGTGTGTGTGTGTGTGTGTGCAGAAGTGTGGGAGAGTAATGAGAACAACAAGGCACCTCAACTTGGTGCGTGCGCATGCATGTGCGTGTGCTGTGTGTCTGCGAAACCAAAGTCGGCAACACCTTCACCGCCAGCATCGCATACACGGGCCAGTTGGGTTCATGACAGGCTTACCATTGATGGGGACTTCAAAGTGCTCCGTGCAGTTCTTGCAAGAGATGCGGCCAATCCCCTCAGAGCGCAGCCTGCACAAAGCGGCACGAAGCGGCAAAATATGTGTGTGTGTATGTGTGTGTGTATGTGTGTGTGTATGTGTGCGTGTATGTGTGTGTGTGTGTGGATAGACCATGAGGAGGATGCAGTTTCCCCTAGGTGTTGGTATGCAGTGCGGGACAGCTGGAGGAGGACGAGGGAGAAGCGAACGAATGGGACCCCAAGGGGTCGCACAGTTGATGATAACAGCAGTGGGGAGAGGGGGGGGGTGAAAGTGACACATCCGTGATGTTACCCGAGCACACACGATCAACAACGCAAGGATCGAACAGAAGGAGCACACGTGCAGATATGCAGGTCACAGAGGCATGTGGGACAAAACAATAGAGCTACAGACGAGCGTACACGAGCTCATACACGCGGACACACACGCACATGCAAATGCACACGCATATGCAAATGCACACGCACGCGCACACGCACACGCACACGCACACGCACGCGCACACGCACACGCACCCGCACACGCACACGCACACGCACACGCACACGCACACGCACACGCACACACCGACAACAATGCCATAGCAGCACATCATGCAACACAGTGCGCGCCTTTGCTGCAGCAAAGCGTACATTTCAACGTGGCATGACTTCTCGTGCTTGCAGAAGGGGCAAGCAAAGATCTTGGGCAGCCTGCCTCCGCCGCGCTTCTTTGGCGCCACCTGCTTCGACTTCCGGCGTCCCATGGCGACGACGTGTTGTGTCGGGGTTGTGTTCCGTTGTGCTGCATGTGGTGTGGGTTCACGCGTGGTTTCATATGTGTGTGCGCATTCGTGTTGACACGCGTGGCAGCAAAGGTAATGTGAGAACAGCACACGCAACACGAGACGCAACACGAGACGCAACACGAGACGCAACACGAGACAACGCAAGCGGAAAGCAGCAGCAGCGACGGCAGCGGCAGCAGCAGCAGCACGACGGGGTGGCAACGCCATCCAGACACTCAACAACTCCATTCGCTCACTGCACGCACGTTCGCTGTGCTGTGCTGTGTTGTCTTGCTTGTTGTGTTTGTTGTGTGATGTTTGTGTGGAATTTCTCCACCACAACAACAACCAACCAACAGCGAACAACCACCAACAGCAACCACCGCTCTCCCGCTCACTCGACTTGACTCGCACGCGCATTCCCGCTTGCACTTCCACTGCATCTCCCGCTCACTCCGCGCCTCACTGCACGTGTTTGGGCATGGAGGAAGGTGGCCCACGGACGCCGCCACGCCGTCGCCGACGCAGAGTATGTTTGTATGTGTGTGTGTGTGTGTGTGTGTGTCTGTGTGTGTCTGTGTGTCTGTGTGTCTGTGTGTGTGTGTGTGTGTCTGTGTGTGTGTGTGTGTGTGTGTGTCTGTGTCTGTGTGTGTGTCTGTGTGTGTGTCTGTGTCTGTGTGTGTGTCTGTGTTTGTGTCTGTGTCTGTGTCTGTGTCTGTGTCTGTGTCTGTGTGTGCATGCACTTCACTGCTTGCTTGCTCGTCTGCATGTGTATGCCCCTCATTTGCTGGAATGTTTGTCTGCACATGTGTCGCATGTAAAACACGCATGTGTGTGCGTGTACTTGCGCTTCCCGCATGCATCACCCCCGCTCATGTATCGCACGCCACTCCGCCCTCCTGGTTTCTGCCTCCACAGCAGTTCAGGGAGTCCGAGGCAGACAGTGGGGACCCATCGACCCACGCTCAGCCGCAACCCGTCCCACATGAGCCGCAGGAGGAGATCGAAGGCGAAGCCGATCGCGCACCACCTCCGTCCGTGTCACAGGAGAAGCCGGTCAGGCCGCGCCGCAGGCGCCCCTTCTCCGCATCATCTCCACCCACCGCCTCAGGCCCTGTCGCACCCACTGGTGGTGCGGAACAGCCGCCATCGTCACCACAGTACAGCGGGGACGGTGATGGCCCTGGCGATCACGACGCCGCCCGCATCTCGCCAATCGATCCCACTGCGCACGAGGATGACGCGTGGGACTTTGCTGACGACATTGACAGCGCGCACGACGAGGCTGCGCAGGCCCACGACCACAACCACGAGCACGAACAACAACATGAGCAGGACCAGGAGCATGAGTATCAGCTGCACCAGCATCAGCAGCAGTCTGGGATGGGGCACGGCAGCAGCCATCGGCAGCACGCGGAAGACGAGCCAGCGGCGCACACGCAGGCATCTGCCACCCACACTCACTCCACAACCGTCGACGCCGCTGTTGGTAAAAGCAACACGGACCCCGACATGGACCCTGGTTCTTGCGGTGACGACACTCCATACACAGCCCCCATCGCAACAAGCACAACACACGCAACAAGCACAACGCACGCAACAGCACGAACGCAAGCAGTGCAACAAACAAAACAACAAACACCGCCCACGGCTGAGTTGACTGCTGCAGCAACAGTGGAGGGACGGGCGAGCGGCAAGCGGTCTGGGAGCAAGCACGGTGCCCCTCGCCGATTGCTGTCGGCGATCAAGGGAAGTCTGACGCGTCGCGGAAAGGGCACCAAAGGCAGCAAAGGCCACGCAACGACCACAAACGCCACGAGTGCCGCTACCACCACCACTGCTGCAACTGCTGCAACTGCTGCAACTGCTGATGTGACAAGCACCGCCACCACGAGAAGCAGCAACACAAGCAACAGCAGCAACGCGAACAACAGCAATGGCAGCAGCGTCAGCAGCGTCAACAGCACGACAAGCAAGGGTGGTGGTGGTGGTGGTGGTGGTGTGAAGGACGCAAACATGGAGGTGGTGCAGCGCATGCGACAACAGCACGCCCAAGACCTGTGCGTTAAGATGTGAGGGAGGGGGCGTTGTGTGGAAGAAGATAGCGAAACAAAGGGCTTGCCCTTTAGCGTGTGTATGTTGTGTGTGTGTGTGTGTGTGTGTGTGTGCGTGTGTGTGTGTTTGTATTCGTGCATGGGCGGGTTCGAGATCAATCACCAATATCTGTCACACATGTGCTCTCCAGCGACTGATCTCAACGACCGTCATGACGGCTGCATTCGTTGCCTGCAGGCTGGACGAACAGGAGCTTGGGGCAATTGCGTACGATTCGACGCCAATCGAAATGTCGTCGCGCATTCCACTCGCCATTCGCCGATGCATCGAATACATCGCAGACCCACGGTGGGTCGTGTGTTGTGTTGTGTTGTGTGTGTTGTGTGTGTGTGTGTGTGTGTGTGTTGTGTGTGTGTGTGTGTGCATTTTCGCGTTGTTGAGTGCAACTCACGCCGACACGCTCCATCACCGTCGCTGCGGCCACCGCGTGTATCATGACAGAGCGTTGCGAGAGGAAGGTCTGTTCCGGGTTTCTGGAAACAAAGTCCAGATGGACGATCTAAACGCGAAATTTGCAGCAGGTAATGGCGCGAGGTCGTGTTTGTGTGTGTGTGTGTGTGTGTGTGTGTGTGTGTGTGTGTGTGTGTGTGTGTGTGTGTGTGTGTGTGTGTGTGTGTGTGTGTGTGTGTGTGTGTGTGTGTGTGTGTGTGTGTGTGTGTGTGTGTGTGTGTCTGTGTGTGTGTGTGTGTGTTTGCAAGTGGGTGTGCATGCGTGTGTGTGTTTGCAAGTGGGTGTGCATGCGTGTGTGTGTGTGTGTGTGTGTGTGTGTGTGTGTGTGTGTGTGTGTGCGTGTGTGTGTGTGTGTGTGTGTGTGTGTGTGTGTGCGTGCCTGCGTGCCTGCGTGCACGAGTGCATGTTTGCATGTGCTGTGAGTGCGTGCTTTGTTGCTGTGCTCGTGTTGCATTGCGCCCAATCGACGTGCTCATCACACCAAACATCTGCTCCTCCTTCTCCTCCTCCTTCTCCTGTCCCATGTGCCCAATTGCGCGTTGGATCAGGCGAGGATCCGCCCCTTGCAGGCATCATGGACCCAAACACTGTCTGCGGCCTCCTCAAACTCGCCCTCAGTGAGGCCGCTACACGCACGAGTTTTATGCTTGTGTGTGTGTGTGTGTGTGTGTGTGTGTGTGTGTGTGTGTGTGTCGTCGTGTTAAGATTGCTGAGTCATAGGGACCTTTCCACCACTAAGTGCCGTATAAAGGGTTTGGGTAGCCTGATTGGCTATGATGATCGCAGAGATGACTCACCAATGCGGCCTATTTAGAAAACGTGTGTGTGTGTGTGTGTGTGTGTGTGTGTGTGTGTGTGTGTGTGTGCGTGTGTGTAAGTATGTATGTGTGATTGTGTGTTCTTGACATCTGCGCATCTTGGCTGTGTTTGCGTACACGTTGACGCACGTTCCGTCACGTCACCAATCGCCATGCAGGGGAGACCGAGTTGCCTGTGGACCAAAAATCCGCCGATCGCCTCCTCCGCGCAATCGCCGGCGCGCACACGCACGACCGCCAGCTCCGCCGCGTCAGGAAGTGCGTTGCGCTGTGGCAGTGTGTGTGTGTGTGTGTTTGTGTGTTTGTGTTTTTGTGTCTGCATGCGTGTGCGTCTGTGTCTGTGTCTGTGTGTGTGTGTCTGTCTGTGTCTGTCTGTGTCTCTGTGTCTGTGTCTCTGTGTGTGTGTGTGTGTGTGTGTGTCTGTGTGTGCTGGAATGATCCTTACCGAGCAACACACACTCATTAACACTACCCGCCCAACCTTTTTCTCTGACGCCAAAACCCTTGCCTCCTTGCCCCCCTCCAACTCCATCTCCCATCTCCCTCCACGTCACACACGACTATCAACGGCAGGGTGCTGGCATCGCTGACGCCGCTGCGTTTTGAAACGTTTGAGGCGCTGCTTCTCCTCTTTAGGAAAGTGGTTGGATGGAAAGGAAACAAAATGACCGTTCGCAACCTCAGCACTTCCATAGGCCCAACCATCTTCCCCTCCCTCGCAGCACAGGTGCGTTTGTGTGCATGTGTCTGTGTGTGTCTGTGTCTGTGTCTGTCTGTCTGTCTGTGTCTGTCTGTCTGTGTGTCTGTGTGTCTGTGTCTGTCTGTCTGTCTATATTTGCTTGTGACGTGCCCTCGTCTGCGTCTGTCCGATGTGCCAGATGATATGTTGTGTCCACGCCTATGTTTCATTCAACCTTCTTTGCGCCACACAACACACACACACACACACACACAAACCTATGCAAACACACACGCGCGCGTGCATCTACGCGTACAGAACTGCGCGAAGATTATTGGATTTCTTCTCCGAAACTTCGCTGCTGCCTTTGAGGACATTGAGCCGCTGGGCGCAAAGCCGCCGACACTGTCACGGCAGCAGCAGCAGCAGATGGGCACCAGTGATGGTGGTGATAGCGACGAGGATGCGAGACGAGTATCGAACACACAACCGTACGAGCAACCACAACAGCAACAACAGCGCGGTGGCGGTGATGGTGTGGGTGCGAATGATGGTGATGGTGGAGAGGGTGAGGAAGCGAGGTTGCGGCGGCTCGTGCTCCAGGACACACAAGCGCGGCAGCAGGCACCCATGCTCCGGTTCTAAACAAACTGACACTCTTCTTGGTGTGTGTGTGTGTGTGTGTGTGTGTGTGCATGTTGTCGTGCTCAAGATTGCTGGCAAACAACACACTTGTGCGTTGTTGTCTCGTGTTGCAGGCAACCCCTCTTGCTTGGTTCCCTGTTTCACCGTTTTGCTCCTTGGCTCACTTCCCCTCCTCTCCCCGTCTCTTCCCTGCCTGAATGCTTTGTTTGCTGACCCACCCACCACGCTCCAAGTGCATGCGTATGGGGCTTGTTGTTGCTGTTGCTGCTGCTGCTGTTGCGTCTGCGTGCATGCCATTTCTTGTATTCAATCTATTGTTACACGCCAACCCTCCAATACAAGCCAGCAACATCGAGCAACCAAAGCCGGCTCTCGTGTGATTGTGGACCACTGCGACACCCACATGTGCACACGCGCATACTCACACAGCCGAAGCGGCAATCGATCAATCACACATGCACACACACATTCACACGCACTGCCACGCGCACTCTCACGTGTCAGCAACTGAACTACTGCTCGTCCTCATCGTCCTCATCGTCCTCATCGCCCTCGTCATCCTCAATTTCGGCCACCATGGCGTCCATCAAAATGCGCAGGAATCCGGGAACAACAACACCACCAACCATCATCTCATCATCATCGTCTTCATCATCATCGTTATCATCATCCTTCGCGCTGCCACCACGCTTGCTTGCATCATGGTCCTCCGTGAGTCCTTCTTCAAACGCGTTTAGGAGATTGGCAACGCTGACGGCGTGCGGATGTGCGGAGACGAGCGCGCGATAGACGGGCACCGCCGTGCGGGGAACGGGGACGATGCGGGGCGCCGGCAACATCCCATCCTCGTCGCCATCTTGATCACCACCGTCACCACAGCAGGCGGCTTGGCATGCGTCTGCACACGCCATTATGCCCTCCCCATCGTCGTCGTCGTCGTCAGCACGGCGCGATCCTGGAGCAACGCAGCACTCGTCGCCATCACAGCACCCTGCCTGTTGCTGCTTCTGCTGCTCTTGCTGCTGTTGCTGCTTCATGCTCTGCTTCTTCTGTTGTCCACTTCCGTCTGCGCCGTCAACGACAGCTGCGCGCTTGCGAGCGGGCTCCTCCCCTTCTTCGTCCTCACCATCGTCGTCACCGTCGTCGTCACGAGTTGATGTTGTTGTTGCTGTTGTTGTTGCTGCTGCTTTGCGTTTGGCGCCCTTGCTCTTCCTGCTGCTTTTCTTCGTCGCCACCACCACGGCCACTTCCTCCTCCTCCTCCTCCTCCTCCTCCTCATCATCATCATCATCATCGTCATCGTCATCGTCATCATCATCATCATCATCGTCAGCAGCAGCATCAGCGAGTGCAGCGCTCCACTCGCCATCACCGCCTTCGTCGTCTTCGTCCTCCGAGTCGTAGCCCATCATGTGCGTGTCTGCGCTGTTGTTGTTGCTGTGCACAAACAGCACAAACTTCCGCGGGTCAATTCCATCCGCTGCTCAGTGGTGGTGAAGCGGGGGGATGTCAGTTGGACGTGGGGCGGGTGGGATGAGAACAGTTGAATCACAAGTGACATGACCACCAGCATCGGCAAGACAAACAGTAAAACACTCACACGCGCGCGCACACATACAGGCGATGCATTTGGTCATGTGTTGTGTTGCGTGAGAAAGAGAGAGAGAGAGAGAGAGTGTGTGTGTGTGTGTGTGTGCACCTTGCATGGATTCGTCAACGCCGTCAACTAGGCGGCAGCAGTTCAAATCCGTCAGACGCACACGCACGCTCGGGTCAGACAGGACAGTCGACAACTCATCGTCACCTGCCATCGCCATCATCTCCTCCATCGTCATCTCATCATCGCCCTCGTCCTCATCATCGCCCTCATCATCCTCGTCCTCATCATCACCCTCATCATCACCCTCATCATCATCATCGTCATCATCATTACCACTGCCGTGTTGCTGTTGGTCATTGCGACGCTTGTTGTTGCGCCGCGTGCTCTTGTTTTGCCTCTCAGCAGCATCACCCTCAGTCCCCTCATCATCCGTTTTGTCTCTCCCCTTCCACTCTTCTTCATCCTTGTCTTCCTCCTCACCCATCATCATCCTCATCATTGTCACGTCCTCGCCACCATCACCGCCCTCCACCATCATGGGTGGGTTGACGGGCCTGTTGGGTAGCCTGTGCGTCATGAAATCCATTGCAAATGCGTCAATTGCGCGCGGCATTCCGGACATAATCGCCTCCAACACGTCGTCACGCTGCAGCAGCGCCCGCAGCTGGAATGATCACGTGGATACGGTGAAGATCGGAAAACAAAGGGGGAGGGGGTGTCTGAAGGCGTGAGGGATGTGCGGTGAGAGCACGTGCAACAGTGGCCACCATGAACACGCACACACACACGCACACACACATGCAACAGCTGAAGCGAGTTCACACAACGAGTGTCGTGCGTCTTCACCCAACCCCCCCCCCAACCCCACAAACACATCGCATGCACATGCACCCGCATCTCATGCGCACAAATATTGCATCTTCTTCTCCATCGTCACGTGCGTGCATGACAGCAGCAACGCACCGTGTCCTTGAGAGCCGGATTGAGGGGCGGACTGAGAGCGAAGCCAGACGATTTGAGGAGATCGAGTGGCAGCCCCCGTCGCAGATCGAGCACACGCGACAACGCACCCTGATGGGACGAGGTGGTTGGGTGGTTGGTTGTTGGTGAATTGGGTGGTGAGGGATGTAAGCTACAAGCAGTGGCGTACATCATACAACAAAGAGCTTGCAAACACACAAACACACACACAGAGCAACACACACACACACAGCAACACACACGCACAGCAACACACACACACACACAGAGCAGCACACGCACACAACAACACATACAGCAGCAATATCCCAACACACAAATACACTGCGGATGGACGAACTTCGAGGCAGGACGGCAGGGCCTTCTGCAGGAGGTGACCATATGTCCAGCGCTGGTACGTGCTGATGGTGACGTGTATGGAGAGGGTGTCGGTTGTCTGTGCTTCGTGTACCTGCCCACGTGGGAAGTACAGCACATCCCCGGCGTTGATGATGCCGTCGTATATGGGATCGCCAATGGCGGTGCGTGGCAGATCGGGGCTGTATGACGAGGCGAGCTGCTCGACAGGGTTGTACAGCTTCCAGTGCTTGCTTCCCTCCACCTGCAGCACAAACGCCTCAATGTCGTCGTGGTGTGGTGCCAGGCCCTGCAGTGATAATCAGAGTGGTGGTGCAGGGTGGTGCAAGGTTGAGAGAATGTTAGCGCGCGCGCGCGCGCGTGTGTGTGTGTGTGTGTGTGTGTGTGGTGTGTGTGGTGTGTGTGTGTGTGGTGTGTGGTGTGTGTGTGTGTGTGTGTGTGTGTGTGTGTGTGTGTGCAGCAACAGATTTTGCCGAGAGAAAGCCCTCCCCCGACAACGCATGCTTACACATGCCACACATGCGAATCTCATCATTCCCTCACGACACGACACACAATACGCACAAACAGTCAGAGCAGCGATTATACCCCTCCTTGCCGCCCCCGACCTGTGAGTTTGGCGGGGTGATGTAGACGTTGGCACCGACAAGGCAGCCAAACGTGGACTCGAGCGTGGTCATGACATCCTGCAGCTCCAGCATGAACCGCTGTGGCTGGTGGAACTGGATGGTGCAGCCATCTTTCAATGCAGCATCCACTTCAGCCCACTTGACGCGAACAAGCTCGTCCTCGTCGCCATCCTCACCGTCATCATCATCGCCTTCGTCGTCGTCGTCCTCGTCGTCAGCGACATCGTCTGCGTTCGCAGCCGCATCGCTTTGGCCCTTGCCATTGCTCCGCTTGCCTAGATATTGTCGCAACACGCGTACACGAACCAGAACGGCGTGAGCGCGGTCATCAAGAAGCACATACAGGCACACATGGGTGCAAACACACCCAAACACCTTCAACCACCAATCCCAACGCATCCCTCCACCTCTTCCAACGCATTCACCCATCCACTCGTGTGCATGCCATTGCACACACACACACACGTTTGCTCCTCCACATGACTTGCAACATGTCACCGCGCGCACCTGTTGGGTTGAGGCTCTGCTTCTTGCCGTCCACACAGCGGCACACGTTGAGGTCCTCGCCATAGTGGACCTCCTCGTTGTTGATGATCTGCTCCAGGTACTCCAAGGAGAAGAGACGCGACAGCAGCTCCTTGCGATCCACAACGTCAACCCTCGGCTCCTGTGTGTCCTCAGCTTGCTGAAACGCCCCGAGATCGTGCCCATCCTGTTGTTTCGTGTCCTTGTTGCCCTTGCTGTTGTTGCCTTTGTTACTGTGCGTGTTCTTCGTCTCGTCCTTCTTCTTCTTGTCCTTTTTGTCCTTCTTCTTCTTGTCCTTTTTGTTTTTCTTGGTCCGTTTGGTGCTCTCGTGCTCCATGGGTGGAAACACGACACTGTCAGACACGTGCAGCACTTGCTTCTCCCAGTACTTGTCAAAGAACTCCTTCACGGTCACTGGCGCCACAAGCAGGCTCATCGCGCCCGCGGCTTCCGCTGCTGCTGCTGCTGGGGCGGTCATCACATCGATCGTGGCAGGAGCACGTGAGTTTGCAAAGCGACAGCACGAAATGCAGTCACATAATATACGACACCACAAACAGTAGGCGGATATCAACAACCAGCGCGGCAGCAGTCGTTTTTGCTCTCTTCCTTCTCGTTCAACCTTGCTCTCCTGCTGTCGACATCATGTCTGAGCGAGCGCGTGTGGAGCAGCTGATGCAGCGCATCGCTGATGACACGCTGGAGATGCCCAAGCGTGTCAAGGTGAGATGGAATGATGGACATGGCGCTGCATGTTCGTGTGTGTGTGTGTGTGTGTGTGTGTGTGTGTGTGCATGTGTGTGTGCATGTGTGTGTGTGTGTGCATGTGGGGGTGGGGGTGGGGTGTGTGTGTGTGTATGCGGTGGACAATTGGGCTTCGTTCAATTGGGCTTCGTTCATTCACCCCGTGTCGTGTTTCCGTGCTGTCTTGTGTTGACGCTGCTGCAGGCTGCGTACGATTTGTGGAACACGGCAAACAACTCCTCTGGGTCGACAGCCATCTTGGATCTTGGCTACCCTGGCGAGCTCCTCAACATCTACGACACACTGTCCTTCCAAGGGTGCGACGGTTGTGTGTGTGTGTGTGTGTGTGTGTGTGTGTGTGTGTGTGTGTGTGTGTGTGTTTGTGTGTTTGTGGGTGTGTATGTGTGTGTGTGTGCTTTTGTCGGGGATGCACGCTACAGCCTTGCGGATCGTTTGTTTGCCACACTCACGCATTCGCCTTCCTTGTCACAGGCGGGAATCCCTCAAGGCACGGATGGTTGGTATCCTGTGCTGCCTGGCCGCAAACCTCCCGCTGGAAAAGGCAGAGCAGCTGTATGCCTATGACGTGCAGTCGCGTCTCTTTGAACTCCGCTGCTCCACCGTAAGTACGTGCGTGTGTGTGTCTGTGTGTCTGTGTGTGTGTCTGTGTCTGTCTGTCTGTCTGTGTGCGTCTGTGCTGGCAACCTCACATCGTCGTCACACTCGCCCCCGCGTTTACGCGATCCCCTTGCCGCCCCACCGGTGTCTGCAGGACCCTGTACGGCAGCCGATCAATGCGCTGTGCGGTCTCATCAACCTGCTGCACCATCACGGCGACCACCCCATGATGCACGGCGATGTCCAGCTCTACACCCTCACAGCAAAGGCCCACAAAGGTCCCCCACACCTGCGCTCTGTCTGTGTCTGTGTCTGTGTCTGTGTGTCTGTGCTGTGTGTATGTGAGGTGTCTGTGTCTGTCTG